AGCACACGTCTTGCTATATAAACTGTACTGCACACAAATGATGGAAAACCTTTAAAAATGTATGCAAAAAATTAGTCTATTTCTTTAAAGAATATAATAGCTAAAGTTGTTCAAGGAATGCAGGTACTGTACAACATGATGATTTATGAAAAAATAAAAATTTTCCCCTTTTTCTAGAGCTTTGGGCAGTGTCCTCATCCAGTGAAATTGTCCAGATGTCTGGTTGATTTTTATTGTGGTTTCAAGTGTTCCTAAATCAAGCCGTCCTTCTTTCGGGATGTCCGTAAGTCGTAGCTCCTCTGCATTTACATGAAGCCTGTGAGAAAATTCACTGAATTTTTTTTGGAAACTTGTTCGATGGTTGGTTCGTATTCTTTCAGTAATTTTAGCGCTTTCTTTTCCGTCTAGTTCGATTAAAAGAAAAAAACATAACTTCGAACCACACGAGACGATTCCATGAAAATCTCAAGATTTTAGCATAGCTCAAGTCGATAGTTGAAAAGAAAAAAAAAAATTCCGGCGAACGAACATTTGTCGGCTTAAATTTTAACGTATCTTAACGTTAAACGAATTTTAACGATTCTCCTTGCTTTGGAAGATTAAGACAATGAATCCATCTTAGGCACCGAGGAACTCAATTTCATAGTACAGTACTGACAATAATTTCGAGTCATAAATCGCATTCAAAATAAATACGGTATTTTCAATTGCGCAAATGTTAAGCTAAACAATTCTTCGAATGCTTTCAATTCCCAGATTTTCCGAATACAATGTTCCTGCTTTTACAGAATACATCAAAAGCCCTCGCAGAAAATGTCAGTCGTGACGTGCGAAGAAAATAAATTAACGTACGTGTTCCTTAGCATTGCCACGATGTGTTAATGCGACATTCCGACCTGGATTGTGTTTGCTTAGCGAAAGCACATGAATATTCCACACACGTAAAAGAGCTCAAGCACGAAACATACTTCTTACATTTTCTCCCACCCAAATGATCAGCGGAAAAATCGCTCGCAATCGGATTTCCCTTCCTTCGAACGATGCCTCAGTCATTGATTAATTGGTATCCGAAGAAAAGTAAAAAAAAAAAAAAGAATGAAATGGCCGAGAAGAACAGAAAAAAAAGCGTAGAATTTCCTGGGCGGAAACTGCATGAATTTTAAGCAATGCAAAATGGGATATTTGGCGAGGCTTTCAATTCGAGGCTGAGCAGTACTACACGTATTTCACTTTGCCGTTTCGTGGACTAATAATTTATTTTGAACAAATATTAAGAGGATAAAAGAACTTCGAATGCAAAAATAAAGCCCCCTGGAAAATAGCACTCAACCCCTGAAAATTTTTTTACGCACATTGGTCTTACTGCGTACTAATAAAGTTATTAGTATAAGTTCTAAAGTGAGTTGACAGCCTGTGCGTTAATATTTGCGTCAACGATTTTTTAATTATGACAGGAGTAGTCCGTTTGCCAACTGGGCTCTTCTCGACGGTAGATGTATCATTCTGGCAGTTTTTTTTTATCGCCAATTCAAAGTACCTTTACTGGCATTTTTTGTTAAAAAGTACTGCATTCAGCGCAAGTCCGTTAGTCACTCGCAGAACGTCTTGGAGTGGAACCAATTCACGCCGTTATCCCCTTTTCGCAGAAAATGATTTCAGATGAAATAAAGCCTCAAGATTAACACAGTATTAGGAAGATTCCCTTTTCGTTTTTCGGAATTTCGTGAAAAGCAGAAAATTTCAAGAAGACCTTCAAAGCTTAGTGGTTGTCCTTGTGGAACATGTCTTCCAAGCTGGAGATTAGACGGGCACCCTTCCCAACAAAGCTGTCTCCCGATTGATTCAATTCGTATAAATTATCAAGAATTACTGCAGACCTCGATGGCTGAACCAGTTCTCCGATAGAATCTTACACACGTTTATCATATAATACCTAAGTTATTGAACGAAAGGTCATCCATGAAAGTATGCCGAGGTGGCTCCGTCTGAATCTTATTTCATATTTGCAAAAATTGGAGATTGCTACCCTCGTTCTCCTCCTTTTATTTGCGGACGATCAATTTTGATAATTCTTGAGATAAGCAAAAATCAAATTCTATTTTTTTTTTGCAGTGGACAACACATCACCAGGCCAAAAACCGACCAAACAAACTAGTTCTTCGTGACAATACTTCGACATTTATTCCAACAAGGCTTAAAAACTTCATTAGGCGAAAGCCAGGGAGAAATGACGGCATTCTTCTCGAACTGCTGGGCAATAGAAGCCGTCATCTAGAATAATGCATTGGGTTGGGTGCAAGAGAAAATCCCGTAGGAGAAAAATCCCGCGGCCCGAAAATCCCGTAGGTACGAAAATCCCGTACAATAAAAAATTGAGATATTATCTCTGAGTTTTCCATCCAACTGCATTTACTCTTCTGTGGCCTTTGGGTGGGAATCTTGTTAAGTTGAATGGCTTGTTGAATAAAAAAAATGTATTCTCTATCATGTGCTGTACGTTGAAATTGAACTTTGACGAGATGAAATATACCTATATAACTGCATTTAGACTTATTTGATGATTTAGAAATTATTTACAGAGCATCACCATATGTGTAGATATCGAAGGAGGTTTTTTGATGTAAAAATTCATGTTTTCAGGGCAAAGTACATTGGGTTCACTCTTTTGATTCCAATGCGAACCTTTAATTTTTCTTTTCCTGCAGTTGGAAAAATAGTTCACCAGATAATATGGGTACCTGCCTCACACGCCGCCAAAAAATTATATCTTTGATAGGCAAAAGAAGAAAAAAAACGTTTTGAAAATTCCAAATGACCATGACTCCCAAGACGAAATCAATTCCGAGGACGAACTTCAAGTCGAGGATTTACTCGATTTTTGTAGAAGATATATTTGATTAAACTAGCGTATTGAAAAGAAATCGAAGGCCTTTTCGACTTGAGAATACAGTATCCAGATTTCTTATGAGGGTGACAATCAGAAGTGTTTTCTATTCAAGCAAATGGGAACCGCATCAAAGTTTATTCTACGCCGAATTGACACAGATAATACATTTTACCAATATAAATCTTGGCCGAAGACAAAATTTTGGCGCATAAGCTAGCTAGACGCTAGAAAATGATGTTCCGTTTGTCCAAATAATTCAGCCAACAAGTTATCGCAAAGATCATCACACCCAGGATTAGAAAATTAGCCAGCATGTTGCAGAATAAAGATTGCTTTGTTTCATTACTTTTTTTTATACTTAGAAGAACATTTCGTGTTCCATCTTTCTGATCAAGGACTGAATCCATCCGAGACATTGTGTCGATTAAGGTCGCATTCCTAAAATCACTGCGGCCTACACACGAATATTTCAGGCAAGGGACAGAACAGCATTTTTAATGCACAGGCAACGGGTCCAACATACCGTTGAATAAATAAGGTGGCATCAGTGAATATAATTTCATATTCGGTGCCAATATAATTGCACTTTACAAATTTGAACATGGAAAAAACTGGCACCCCTGTCATTCGAAAAAAAATATCCGTGACTGCGAATCAGAGACATTAGTCGTGGTCAATTGACGATATTGTCGTGGGAGGGAACATTTTGACACACAATTGAAAAAATACTGGAACATTTCAACAGTTCATGGAGTTGTTCTAATTTTGTGCGTCTGATGTCACCGACTCGTGGAGAGAAAAAAAATCTGTGACTCTGAATGAAAGCATTTGTCATAGGAGCAAAAACGTTCGTCTACGATTGAATAATGAGGGTATCAAGAGTCCACCGAGTCTCACAGTCTTTGTTCAAGTCACTATAACCCACAGAAAACCATAAAAAATCCTTTTCGAATCAAAGACCTTCATGCTACAGTGTAACTACTATACAGTCATAATTCCGCGAGATAAAAAAAAAAGAAAAGTGGTACATACCGACGATGAAGTCGTACTCCTCCTCGGGATACATGGTGTCGATGACGCGGCCCTCTGGGTTGTTGATGTCGTAACGGTACTTCATCATGGTACCCACGAGCATCGGGATGAANCAAAATGGGATATTTGGCGAGGCTTTCAATTCGAGGCTGAGCAGTACTACACGTATTTCACTTTGCCGTTTCGTGGACTAATAATTTATTTTGAACAAATATTAAGAGGATAAAAGAACTTCGAATGCAAAAATAAAGCCCCCTGGAAAATAGCACTCAACCCCTCTTTTAAAAAAATGCGTGTAACCAGAATGACGCATGATTATTTCAATAATCATATTCAAGATTTCACTCAACTGTCGGACACGCAATTATAAACGCAGTTGCTAAAAAATTAATACTGTCCTCATCAACGTTTGCCAACTGGGCTCTTCTCGACGGTAGATTTATCATTCTGGCAGTTTTTTTTTATCGCCAATTCATAGTACCTGTACTGACATTTTTTGTTGAAAAGTACTGCATTCAGCGCAAGTCCGTTATAGTCACTCGCAGAACGTCTTGGAGTGGAGCCAATTCACGCCGTTATCCCCTTTTCGCAGAAAATGATTTCAGATGAAATAAAGCCTCAAGATTAACACAGTATTAGGAAGATTCCCTTTTCGTTTTTCGGAATTTCGTGAAAAGCAGAAAATTTCCAGAAGACCTTCAAAGCTTAGTGGTTGTCCTTGTGGAACATTTCTTCTAAGCTGGAGATGGGAAGGGTTGTTTCGACAGAGGGCTAACTAAGTTAAGCATATTTAATAGTTCTTAATGACGTCTGGAGCTACCGACTTGGTCAAGAGGCTATCTTAGAATGTGTGCAAATAGTATATTATGGATTCCCCGTCGGACAGCAAAGAAAGGAAAGCTCTACTTTCGATTTGATAGACCAAGTTCGTTACAAGTGGACGAGTATCCGGTTAACAAGCCGTCATACAGCATCCGGGTACTGCACGACTAAAGTAAACCAAGTACAGTATAGGTCATCTGCGGACTTTCCTTATTGCCAACTAAGAATCGTGGCATAACTTGCTTTCCAGTAGGTACTTTCATACGGCTCCACCGAGGCAGACTTAGAATAAAGTATAAACGTTTTTAACCTCTAACGATGGGAGCAAGAGGAGGAAAATAAACGCCTGCTAGTTAAAACTAAATTCCTGAGGTAAGCACAAATCAAATTCTAATTTTTTTTTTTTTTTGAAGTGGACAACATATCACCAGGCCACAAACCGACCAAACAAACTAGTTCTTCGTGACAATACTTCGATACTTATTCCGACAAGGCTTAAAAACTTCATTAGACGAAAGCCAGGGAGAAATGACGGCATTCTTTTCGAACTGCTGGGCAATAGAAGTCGTCATCTAGAATAATGCATTGGATTCATTCTTTTGATTCCAAGGCGAACCTTTAATTTTTCATCTCCTGTAGTTGGAAAAATAGTTCACCAGATAATATGGGCACCTGCCTCACACGCCGCCAAAAAATTATTCCTTTGATGGGCAAAAGAAAAAAAAAACGTTTTGAAAATTCCAAATGACCATGACTCCCAAGACGAAATCAATTCCGAGGACGAACTTCAAGTCGAGGATTTACTCGATTTTTGTAGAAGATATATTTGATTAAACTAGCGTATTGAAAAGAAATCGAAGGCCTTTTCGACTTGAGAATACAGTATCCGGATTTCTTACGAGGGTGACAATCAGAAGTGTTTTATATTCAAGCAAATGGGAACCGCATCAAAGTTTATTCTACGCCGAGTTGACACAGATAATACATTTTACCAATATAAATCTTGGCCGAAGACAAAATTTTGGCGCATAAGCTAGCTAGACGCTAGAAAATGATGTTCCGTTTGTCCAAATAATTCAGCCAACAATTTATCGCAAAGATCATCACACCCAGGATTAGAAAATTAGCCAGCATGTTGCAGAATAAAGATTGCTTTGTTTCATTACTTTTTTTTTATACTTAGAAGAACATTTCGTGTTCCATCTTTCTGATCAAGGACTGAATCCATCCGAGACATTGTGTCGATTAAGGTCGCATTCCTAAAATCACTGCGGCCTACACACGAATATTTCAGGCAAGGGACAGAACAGCATTTTTAATGCACAGGCAACGGGTCCAACATACCGTTGAATAAATAAGGTGGCATCAGTGAATATAATTTCATATTCGGTGCCAATATAATTGCACTTTACAAATTTGAACATAGAAAATACAGGCACCCCTGTCATTCGAAAAAAGATCAGTAACTGGAAATCAGAGACATTTCTCGTGGTCAATTGACGATATTATCGTGGGAGGGAACATTTTGACACACAATTGAAAAAATACTGGAACATTTCAACAGTTCATGGAGTTGTTCTCATTTTGTGCGTCTGATGTCACCGACTCGTGGAGAAAAACAAAATCAGTGGGCTCTGAATGAAAGAATTTGTAAAAGGGGCAAAAACGTTCGTCTACACTTGAGTAACGAGGGTGTCAAGAGTCCACCGAGTCTCACAGTCTTTGTTCAAATCACTATAAACCATAAAAAACTCACAAAAAATATCAACAATCCGCTTTGAATCAAAAACCTTCATGCTACAGTGTAACTACTATACAGCCATAATTCCGCGAGATTAAGAAAAAAAAGTGGTACATACCGACGATGAAGTCGTACTCCTCCTCGGGATACATGGTGTCGATGACGCGGCCCTCTGGGTTGTTGATGTCGTAACGGTACTTCATCATGGTACCCACGAGCATCGGGATGAACCAGGCCGAGGCCGACGCCATGGCCGCCGCGCCCATCCCGATCGCCACCGAAGACATGGTTCAGAGGCGCCTCCGTTTCCAAAGACACCAGGATATTTCCTAACTGAATAAGCGGAACGGAAATGTGCGTTGCGCTTATTCGGCGTCCCTTTTTCTCTTTCCGCAATTATCCCAATAATATGTCTTCCTTCTTTTTTTTTTTTTATAACGCACAGTCACTACTACAAGACGTCCGTGTCGCCGACGAGTCACTGTTGAACGAAGTTCTTGTCAGCGCTACGCAACCACTCCGCATATCGTCCTGTTTTTCGTTTTCTGGTGAAGCACGAGGGAAAACAAAGAAATGAGGCGCTAAAACTTGAATTCGAGGGATACTATGAGTGACTTCAAAAAAATACGGATCGGTTGTCACCGTGAAATTCGTTCGCTTGCCGCGGGAATTCTTCCAGGAAAAAATTGTTCGGGCGACACTAAGACGCGCTGGAGAGGTCGCTCATTCGTAATGCTTGAAAATCTGCACAAGATACACTGTTCAAATGAACAAATATCGCATGATCACGTAACCTCATCCTCAAGTGAATCACAAAGCAATTACACGCGACTGCGTAAAAGAAAGAAAATTCGCAGTTCTCCGAAATCCTGACGTAAATCCCGCTGCTCTCGAAGCTTCTCTCGCTTCGCGTCACAAAAAGTTACCGAAGCGAATTTTGGAATTTAGAACAAAAGAATCGAATGCCTTCAGAAGAAAAAATGCACAATGCCCGGCGACCTTCGCACAAAATAAGCCGAACTGGAAATTCATCCCATTAGATAATTCGTAATCAAGTCACTGGAAACGATTTTCATAACCCTCACGAGCCGGAATCGGGCTTAAGGCATATGAGCAATCATCAGGGCGATGTATATAATTAATTAAAAAGACACAGAAAATTCACTATCAGTGAATCAGTGTCCTTTTGCATCATGGCGTTGCCATTCTTTCCAGCAATGTCAGGTCCCCGTTAGCAATTGAACAGGTCGGCAAGATGCGCAAGAGTACCTAATTGCAGCTGAATAAGCAATTCATTTTGAACAGCTGTGGCTGTGAATTGGTCCTCACACAGCTGACATTCGGACAGTCGGAAAATGCCTTATTCATCAAGGAGTAAATTCAGTTTCCACGGCTCCCTTTGAAAACACAGCATAAAGAAAAAACAATGGATCGTTTCATTTTTTAAAGCCAGAGGAAAAGTATTGTAATTATCTCGAATTTTTCGAGAGAATTGCAGAGGAGCAATTTAGTCATAACATTTCAAGCACACTGGAATTCAGTACTGTACATATATTCGAGATACCTTTTTCGAAAAATGATCAGCCAACAATTGAAAAACCAGACCATTTTAGGAGTGCCTATTTTCATTTAGCGTAACTCGTTTCCTTCTCGCCAATTCCTGCAATGGAATGCATCCTAATTTCTCGAGAAAATTTGTTTAGCAATGCGACGAACGGATTTCCAAAATTAGTTAATAAAATGGCGCAGATATAATAATACAAATTAAGCGGACATTATGCATGCGACAAGTCGCTGTAGCGTAATGAAAATTCGTTTTTACGGCTCGTAGCTATTTTGAATAGAATTGGCAAGATTTGATACAGTTGCACAATTTTTTAAGACGTCAAGCGAAGCTTATCAATTGCTTCTCGTTAAATTCTGTATCCCTAAATAACGCACATTTTTAAAATTTGAGGTTCACATGATTATTTGCACCTTACGCGACGAATCAGAACCTTGCTTTTAGACTCTTTTATTTTCGAAGTTCGGCAGACATTCTGAACCATTTTATCCCAGTGTTCCACGTTCCATTTTTCCTTGCGCTAAAAAAATTGCGTCACATTCCACAAACTTCTGCAGAATATCGCGAACGACACGAGGCAGAAAGACACAACTCTTGTACTGTACTACGAATCTGCGTTGGTATCCTAGCTTGCCGAGAGTCCGGCTGAATGTAACTCGAGGCACGTCGATGGAAAAAAAAAGGGGGAGAAACATATGGTTGAAAAAAAAACTAGATTCCCAAACAAGGTCAACCGAAGCAGTGCCAAGAAAATTATCACAGCAGCAGCAGCAGCAACAGGTGCAAAGGGGACAAACGGGAGAATCCGAGAATTGTGGCGCGCATCTGCCGCGAAACGGGACCCGGAACGTTTCCTCCCGTAAAATACCGGTGGAGAAGTTATAGCAGCTATCTTCGTCACGGACCACTAACCAGGACCCGAAGGTAAGAAAATCGGGGGAAGACGTAAAAGAATAAAAAAAATTAACGAAAAAAAGAACGGGGCGAGAAATACTTATTCATGGGGCATCTGCGAAATTCGACTCGTTTCTTGCGGGCAGAACGCATCAGGGTAATGATAACCCATTCCGAGATGAAGCCAGATTTTCTTTCGATTATCATCACACAACTCCAAGCATGTATCTTCCTTTTTTCTTCTTTTTTTTTTACTGCTGCTTGAATAGACTGAAGCCATAAGGTGACCTTTTACAATTTGACCAATTGATATTCCGAAGGAGGATGAAGGTGAAAAAAAAGGCTGAACAGGGAAAAATCAGGCGGCCAAATTTTGGATCATAAGTTTTTCTGTAATACTTTGAAATATATCTAACTCACCGTGTCTGTGGTTAAATGATACATCATAAAAATTTTATGAAAGGTACCGATTTAGCTTTATTTTGTTTCGATGTGTCCAGCATGAAATGAAATTTATGAGAAAGGCAAACTCAGATCTGATTTGAATTGACTCACGCAAAAGCATTTTTTGATTAAAACTAAAAGCGTTGAGCTTAATAATTACAAGTAAAATTATATGCTAGCAATATGTACATGAATTGGCAATTTAAAAATGCGGCTTATAATTCTAGCAGTTGAATGCTTTTTCTGTGTTTGGCAAAACCTTTGGAGGCGAATAAAATTAAAAACACTGTGACAATTCCAAGATTCAATTCTTTGAAATCTAGGAATTGTCAATGTAATTCCCACGAGAAACACATGAAATTCGCTTCATACGGAGGTCGATTATTTTCTCAGTACTTAATTTGAGTTAAAAGTACTGGTGAATGGCATAAGTGTTCAAGCGGTATTATACGCAAAGATACTTTACATGCCAATCTTACGAATTAAATTTTGGCAAACCTCATTTTGAAAAAAACCCAGTATCTGATTCTAGTTTAATTATGCTTGCTGCATTCATATCTGACCTTCATAAACTGCGCCATTCAACTTCTCACGACGAAGTTAGAGGAAAATCATGCCAAAATGAAGCCAGATTTCGTCTCATTCTCACGCAGCTTCGAGTAATTCTCGTTAAACAAAAAACAAATCTGCGTCACGATGATTTACATTTAATGAAATTTACTGCATCCTTATAGTGGCCAAAAAATATAATCTAGCGCTTACCTGAAATTTATTTGAAAAGATCAAACTTCAGAAATGCCCCTGGCATCATTTTTAGATGCAGATGATCCGACGCATCCTTTTTTTTTGCCAACGTGAATCCGAATACAAAGGTAACCTGCCACTACAATCAGAAGGCGAGCTTTTCATGTCGATAACTTGAATCGTTTCCACAACGTTGCGGCTTTAATAGGTATTCAACAGAGCATGGGAAAGAGCACTTGCCTACTGACTCGTTTCTTGCGGGCAGAACGCATCAGGGTAATGATAACCCATTCCGAGATGAAGCCAGATTTTCTTTCGATTATCATCACACAACTCCAAGCATGTATCTTCCTTTTTTCTTCTTTTTTTTTTTACTGCTGCTTGAATAGACTAAAGCCATAAGGTGACCTTTTACAATTTGACGGATTGATATTACGAAGAAGGATGAAGGTGAAAAAAAGGCTGAACAGGGAAAAATCAGGCGGCCAAATTTTGAATCATGAGTATTTCTGTTATGCTTTGAAATAGATCTGACTCACCTTTTCTGGGGATACATGATATAGCATAAAAATTTGATGAAAGGTACCGATTTAGTTTTATTGTGTTTCGATGTGTGCAGCATGAAATGAATTTTACGAGAAAGGCAAACACAGATCTGATTTGAATTGCCACAAGCAAAAACATTTTTTGATTAAAACTAAAAGCGTTGCGCTAAATAATTACAAATAAAACTATATGCTAGCAATATGTACATAAATTGGCAATTTAAAAATGCGGCTTATAATTCTACCAGTTGAATGATTTTTCTGTGTCGGGCAAGATCTTTGGAAGCGAATAAAGGTAAAAATACTGCGACAATTCTAAGATTCAATTCTTTGGAATCCAGGAATTGTCAATGTAACTCCCACGATGAGAAACACATGAAATTCGCTTCATACGGAGGTCGATTATTTTCTCAGTACTTAATTTGAGTTAAAAGTACTGGTGGCATAAGTGTTCAAGCGGTATTATATGCCATGATACTTTTCATGCCAATCTTACGATTAAAATTTTGGCAAACCTCATTTTGAAAAAAACCATGGATCTGATTATATTTTAATTATGTTTGCTGCATTCATATCTGACCTTCATAGACTGCGCCATTCAACTTCTCAAGACGACGTTAGAGGAGAATCATGCCAAAATGAAGCCAGATTTCGTCTCATTCTCACACAGCTTCTATCAATTCTCGTTAAACAAAAAACAAATCTGCGTCACGATGATTTACATTTAATGAAATTTACTGCATCCTAATAGTGGCCACAAAATATAATCTCGCGCTTACCTGAAATTTATTTGAAAATATGAAACTTCAGAAATGCCCCTGGCATCATTTTTAGATGCAGATGATCCGACGCATCCTTTTTTTTTTTTGCCAACGTGAATTCGAATACAAAGGTAACCTGCCACTACAATCAGAAGGCGAGCTTTTCATGTCGATAACTTGAATCGTTTCCACAACGTTGCGGCTTTAATAGGTATTCAACAGAGCATGGGAAAGAGCACTTGCCTACAACCAGTTTACTCCTGTACTTGACTTTTCGTTCAAGTGCACCTCCGATTCACCGAGGTCAGCAACAAAAAAGGTCGAAGACTGACTTGGCAAACACCTGGTCATGTCTATCACACAATAAGATCAATTGCTTAAATTCTGGGCGGCGGTTAATTAGCTCAAAGAACGTAGATGATCATTCGAAGGTTGTAGTGCAATATTTTAAGCAAAGATTTCGAGTCGGTGATCTGCTAGAAAATTTTCCAGACGTTAGTGATCTCTGGGAATAGAAAATTTGGACTTTTAATGCTCGGGTGCTTAATTTGTAATGTTTCAAGATTCGAGCTCAAATCATTATTGCCTTACTTTTTAGCACAAGTTCCCGTGTAC